AAGAAAAAAACATTAAAAATGTGAAGGAATGGACTCTATATTTTTTTATTCACTATTAATGTGAGGCATTCAAAACCGTAGTTGAAACTTTTTCAATTTGTATGATAATTGAATATATATATATATATAATCTTTGATTTCCTATATAACATGTATAATAAGTGTGTTTCGATTGTAAATTATTTGAGATAATTTTGTGAAAAAGTACTGTAGCATTTTTTTGATATGATGTATGTGAGATAAAAAGGTGAAGCATTCAAAACCGTAGTTGAAACTTTTTTCAATTTGTATGTATATATAATCTTTGATTTCCTATATAACATGTATAATAAGTGTGTTTGGATTGTAAATTATTTGAGATAATTTTGTGAAAAAGTACTGTAGCACTTTTTTGATATGATGTAGTGAGATAAAAAGGTGATTGAAAAATGTGTTGGTTTGTTGTAAGAAATTTGGTTAAAAGAAAACTCAATATTTTTGTAATTGTTAATCAAAGGTAGTACTAATTATATTATAAAATAGATACTAATGATATACTTTTATAAGAAAACTAATTGTTAGTTTGGTGTAAGACGCTTCATTAAGATAATTTAGACAAAATAATGAAAAGAATTATTGGTAATTGTTTAGAAGGCAAAATAATATAATTTTAATTGACAACTAAAATTATAGGGAGAATTTTAAACTTTTGAAAATTTTTAGGGAGGTGGCTGCCCCTGCCCATCCCCTTGTGTCCGTCCTTGAGTGTAAACACTCTGTGATTTTATTTTTTATTATACCTAAATTACCCTCATGCATTGTTTATTAAAAAGCAAATTTTATTAATGAGATTGCTAAAAATTGTCTAGCATGATTTAGTTTATATGACAGAAATATGCACTCACTAGAAATAACAAATCTACAATTTAACAAATATAATACATTTGAAAAATTATGATCAAATCTGAAATATACAAAGAAATTCCAAAATGTCTTGTAATAAGATAAATAAATGCAACTCACTTCTGTACATGTTATAGTTGTCAAATCTAACTAATCAATTGCTTTAAACTCCAATAATGAAAATGAGATGTGTCAAGATAAACCTAAGATCGGATCTAACATGCCTATTTTGAAATAAGTTTAGATCTAACAACAAAATATATAAGAGAACAAAAAAGAAACTACAAAAAAATCTCACTGGGAACTCTTAAGAGAATAGAAATTTCTTACTAGGAATCTCTTGTAGAAACAAAGAGAGAGACGTTGGGGCTTATTCAAGTTGAAAGTCAATTAGAATAAACTTTGGTACGAACCCAAATGAATGTCATTACATCAAATTTTCTTTTCATTGTTTATAATAATAATAATATAATAAAAGTCCTTTTCGATCAATGATCATCATTGATATGCATGCGTTAAAAGTGCATGTAAGAGTCTTTCCTCGGCCTTCCTCATTTGCTTTTGGCTTTTTTTCGTACTTTGTACGATTTACATTTTTTTTTTCTTTTGGCTGCCGGTAAAGGTAAAAAGCCTTTTAGGAGCATATCAGGAAACATAGAAGCAAAAAGCCTTTGGAGCTAGCTAGCAAACTCATACATTGTCTACTTAAAATAAGGATTAATATTTTGTACATTGAAAATGTAGTAATTTTTTTATACTAACAACAAGAGGTGGTAATATGGATAAATGGTTCATAATTGGTTTTGACTTAATGGATGGTGGATGAAATTTGTCTAATCCATTTAGATCCATTTATTAAATGGATCTAAATAGATTAAATAAAAATCAATTATCCATTTATAATCCATTTAAATAATTCTATCAAGACCAAAGCAGTATCAAAATGAGCATGGTGAACACAAATTCCTACAAATCACTTGCTCGCTAAAGTGCAAGTTAGATAGCTTCAGAATTTTGTTTTAAGAGTATTCTGCTTGATACTCTTGAGATCACACTGAACACAACTAAAGAGCCAACCACTTAAAAAGGATTTACATATTTACACAGGGGCCAAAAAAAAAACAAAACATAATTTCAAGCAAATAGGAGTCTAGCTCAAACCCAATTCCAAATCCCAAAACCATTGGAGAAAATGATGATAGCCATGTACGATATTAAATATTTCTCACTAGCTATTGCGTCTAAATAGAATTAGCAGATGTTGGACAGACAGGACAAGAAGGCGTCTGTAGCAACCACGAGTCTATGCACTGAACATGGAAGCTGTGGTTGCAAATGGGCAGCAATTTGCAAACTTCACCGATCTTGAAGCCCTCCAAGCACACAGCACATTCCTTGTGGGGGTCTTCTTCCTTGTACTGGAAGATGAGTATTTATAGAAATGTCACATGCGTATTAGCTGTTTGTGAGAATGACTATTTGAAAGATGAGTTTTTATAGTTGGGTTCTCTGCCTGGGATTGAGTTGAAAAACATGCAACAAGAAATATATGATGGTTTTTAGTCATTTCCTTTCCGTTTCTTTTATTTGGTTTTTAAGTAAATGGCTATATATGATTTTTATGGATAACCCTAATAAATCCATTTAATTTAATGGTTTTACTTTGGTCAACCATTTAAAACTAATATTATAAATGGATATTCCAAATCCATTTAATTATGAATTATATGGATGGATAAATGGATCTCAATCCAAATTGCCACCTCTACTAACTACTTTGAATGTATACCACATGTGTAAAATTTGAATTCATATTATGTAGTATAATTTAAATCTGTTAGTGCAGAAAAAATTATCTTTAAAATAATAATAATTTTGTGACCATTAATTAAATCTCAGCATGATTAGCGTACTGACTCGTCCGACTATTATTGAATTACGCGTCCTCTTTGAATGTTTGCATATATTACAAGCGTCCCAATTAAATTCCGCAGCGCCTTGCTTTCGGTGGTGGTGGTGGTGGTGGTGGTGGGGGGGGGGAGGGTATTGTTAGCACTAACAGAGTGCCCTTTTTTTTTTTTTTTGAAATGTGTTGTTAACAGTCTACTTAACACATACGCAGAGAAAGAAATTAAATCATTTGCACAATTTGCCACACCCCAAAACACCAAAAAAAAAAAATAGTGATAGCACCATGTGGATGGTTGGCCCATGTGGGGGAGATGCATGGCTAAGCTCGCTCATAATTTTCATCAGCAAATCAATCAAACTACTTATCAGTAGAAAATAACAAGCACCTCACCTTCATTACTCTAAGACCTTACGTGATTAGAGTCGTGCTTTGGGGGGCAATATGTGAATGATAAGGTAATTTTTTGCAAGGTGAGGAGGTGGGCTTATCAAAGCCAGCAATGGAGTATGGATGTTGATGGAGGGGAGGATACGTTGTCACTCCTCCGCACAATTCAGCAATTCAAAGCAACCACATGGCTAATTCTTTAGATTGTAGCTGAAAAAAAAAAAGTCGATCAAATGTTGAAGAAGAGAGTCAAATGCATATATCAATAACTATGTGCCCAGTAAATTACACCTAGTACTCATAAACAATTTACACATCTAATAACTCATGAGAATGATGTTCAATCATTCAATGTAGTACAAGGAGAAGGAAAAAAAAAAAGAAAAAAGACCAGCACTTGAAAATCAGTTGAGTCCTACTGCCATCAGAACTACTGGAATAACCTCCAAAACTGTTTCTCCACCCTCTTCAACATCTGACCCGCTCATAATAATTAAAAAAAACATCCCTGACTTAGCACGGCAAAGGACAACTTTTTTTTTTTTTTTTTTCATGTTGACTATGCAAGGTAGTGCCAGTCGTTTTTTTTTTTTGCTTTGCCATATTTCGTCGACACGACAGGTAAAGTTTGGTACATCATCTTGCCAGAGTAATATTTGACCGATTTTTTCTTTCAGATATAATCTAAGGAATTAGCCCCACTATATATAACTAGCGCTGTTAATTGAACTGAACATTTGACCGCCGTACTCGACTCATGCTTAACTAAACGAACGAGTCTTGGAATATGTTCGAACTTGGCTCGTTAAATGAGACATGATTCGAGTTCGAAATAATGCTCGACTCGTTTATCACAAATGAGCCGAACTCGCACAAGTTCAAGAAACCTGTAATTTCCAGTTTCTATTCTTCTGACTTATGAAATGATATATAAATCCTTTCTTATCGAGTCCAAGTGAGCTATTTGAATAACAAACGATTCCAATTTACTCGACTCGATAATTAATAGAATAAATTTCTAGTTCGAACTCAACTCGTTTACTAAAATTGATGAGTTGAGTTCAAACCTTATAGAGTCAATTTCAATTGAGTTTTCGAGCTGCTTGTTCTATTTACCTTACGTCATACTACTAGAAAGCTGACAATCTTAATGATGGCATCAAAATTCAACGCCCCTTTCGTTTCATTTCCACTAGTACTGCATGCTATCCGGTTGCTATCTTTCTGCATGAAGTCCTCGCACTTTTTTCTACCTAATAGGGTCCTACTATCTGATTCAGCTATTTATCAGCATCGAGTTTAGTATATTGCTGCCTACATCCCTTCCCCACTTCCTTACTCTTCCTTCTCCGACAAATCCCACCCCCACACCCACCCCCCCCCACCCCTCCCCAACAAAAAAAAAAAAAAAAAAAAAAACTTCCCATTTCCAACATTTATCATTTGGGCTGCGGATTCTTGATCAGATCCACCTATCGCCACTGACTGCCTCCCTCATCAACTATGGCTGAGAAGGTAAGCCAATTCTCTTGCTAGCTTTCCAAACCATCCCTCAAATGTTTCGTGATATTGTTTTGCATCTTTTTTTCCCCCCTTTTTTAGTGTTTGCTCAGTCTGGAAATTTTAATTGCAAGTCTATAACAGCACATACAACGTGAGATATGCTTCGTTTTATGTTAAGATCTCTAACCACATGTCTCAGCGTAAACTAGTAGTACCATATAATTGTGCATCTCAATTTTACATTTTTTGATTGTTATATATATATATATATGGATCGAGTTTGATTATTTTGCTCCGATAATATGCAACCACACAGTTCACTGAAATGAGACTCAAGGTTGATCTTCAATGCCCCTGCTGCTACAAGAAGGTCAAGAACATCCTCTGCAAATTTCCTCGTGAGTCCCTTATAATTATCAATTCTATCTCTTATGTTTTCATTACCAGTACACTAGTAGTTCTTTAGTGCAAGTACAGTTGGTTGGAGGACATCCACCGTTCCACCGACTACGTACATAGGCATGTGCACCACCATGAGTTACAATTTCTTTGTTTCCTTTTTGGGGTCATTTTTCAGCTGAAGTTAGGTAGTGTGGCTTATGAAACTACTAGTGATCAGTTAGGGGCTTTATTTTGTGTGGACAAGAATTTGAGTTTTTTTTTTTTTGGGGTGATGCTCAATTTTTTGGACAAGAGAAATCCGAGACCAGGTATATGATGAGAAGCAAAATCTGGTGACCATCACCGTGGTGTGCTGTAGCCCGGAGAAAATCCGCGACAAATTATGTTGCAAGGGTGGCAAAGTCATCAAGAGCATTGAGATCGTACCAGAAAGAGTAGTAGAACATGGAAGAAAACCAATAGTACACGCAAAGCCCGAAGTGCCGGAAAAGTCAAAGCCATCGCCAGAAAAGCATCCCAAAAAAACTCCGAGGGCACCTGAACCGTGCTTGCACCCGCCAGTTCCAAGGGGGTTCTGCTGTGTCCCATGTTCGGAAGGGTACGGCGGGGGACCATGTTACCATGGTTACGGGCGGCCCATGCCCCCACCACCCTGTTATGTTAGCTATGGATACGGGTGCGGGTGCGGGTATGGGAAGCGGCATCAGTACAACTGCTGCGATTATTTTAGTGAGGAGAACACTGAGGGTTGCACGATTATGTGAGACCAGAGTAGAGAATTCGATGGGATGACCTTAGTGTGATTCTACTGATATGATGTGAACAGCGTCCAAATTAATCAATTAATTTTGTTTGGTGAGAGGTACATGCGAATGCATTGAAGCAAAATAATACTAGTATTGTGTGGTAAGGGCCTTAGGCCCCTCGTAGGACCTATAATATAAATGGAAGAAGAAAATAAAACTAATGTGTACTCTATGATTATGGGGAATGGAGTATGGAGAGAGAGAGAGACGTGGGGGCTTATTCAAGTTGGAAGTCACTTAGAATAAGCTTTCATTTGTACCCAAATGAATAAGCTTTCTTAAGTGTCAAGGTACACTTTTGTAAAGATATTTGAGTCGTTGTTCAAATATTGTATAGTTTAATATATCAATAAAAATTTCTATTGTTTCTAGAAAAAAAGAATGTTGTTACATCAAATTTTCTTTTCAATATTTATAATAACATAATAAAAGTCCTTTTCGATCATCATTGATATGCATGCGTTAAAAGTGCATGTACTTTCTTCTTCTTCTTCTTCTTTTGGATTTTATTTTCTCGCTTTGTCCTCTAGTAGTACTAGTAGTGGTTGTAAGTTACAAATTAAGAGAAAATAAAATAATAAAATAAAACCAACAAATAATAATAATAATGAAACAAAAGTAGTTAACATCATGATAAAATGAAAAATTTGAAAAAAAAAATGGGTGGGGGAAAAGAAGAGATTTAGGGGAAGAGAATTCTAAATGGGTTAATTGGGTTTGATGGGTTATCCAATAATACCCATTTAATAAATTGGTATTATTGGGTAACCTATTTATACCCATTATACAAAAATTTAAGATACTCATACCCATCTATTCATGGGCGGATATGAGTAAATTTAGTTAAGTGGGTTAATTTGACACCTCTAAAGTTGTAACTATGTGCTAGCGTAGAGGTTTCGGATACACATCTTCTTTCCTGTCTCTTCATTTCTTAAATCTCTCCATTTTTTCCCAGAAATAAAATTTAAAATAAAATTACAAAAAAGAAAAAAGTAGTAATGTGCTAGTGTAACAGGAAGGAATGCAGAAAAGAGGTACTTAGTAGTACTTAACATTTGGTGAAAGTAAAAGCGCATATGAATTTGCATGCCATCTCAAATGCTCGATGCATTCAGCGGGTGAATTGGGGGTTAGATTAAATGGACGTGGAATGTGTGCTTCGGTGAATGTATTTTCAAAAAAAAAAAAAAGGGCATTGGTATGATGTGATGAGAGCGTTTGGCGAAATGAATAGTAGGATTTGGTTCGGGTGGGTGATTGAAGCAACGTCCTCCAAATGAACCGACCGCATGCAATAATATTTTTTTTTTTTTTTTGTTCATGCAATAATAATGTTAAGTTTGGTCAACAAAAGAACCAACGTTAGTATTAGGGGTGGGCGCAAGTCGAGTACCCATTCTGTCCATCATTTGGCTGAATTGACCCGTACATTGCGGGTTAGTCGTTTTCTAATTCTTACCCGCCCCGCATATTAGCGGGTAGGTTACCTGCTGAAATAGGATCAAATCAATGGGTACCTATTTTGTCCCACTTATCATTTAATTTTTAAAAAAAATAATTTATACTAATTTAATTATGTATTTTACATATTCATCTAAGGTTTAATAAAGATTTTTTCCTCAAAAAAAGCCTCCCACTAAGAAATGAACATGCGAAGAGAATACAAGAAAAAGGAAAAAAATTAAAAGAATTCAAAATCAATAAAAATTTGAAATAAGTAGCACATTTTTTAAAAATATATGTTCCACATTAGGTAAAATCTTTTCTATAAAACATAAGATCATCACCTCTATAAATGAATTTTATAAATAAACTATAGTCTCTCATATTTGTAATGCAATTTGTTTAATGAAATTGCTTATTTAGCTCTAAAAATATTATTTTATAGTATGTGCATAAAAAAATAAAAAATTATACATGTGAAGTGAATTGGGTACCCGCGAGTTTTTAATTATATGACTCTAACCCGTCCCACATTTAAGTAGATACCCGGCCCTCTTTTGAGCTGCTCAAATAATACATATTAAATATCTTAATTTTCGAATCAGATCGAATCGGATAAAACTGATTTTTGAATTAACGAATAATTTTGCCCACCCCTAATTAGCATGATCATCAAATTCAATTCATCGACCAGCCTTCCAAAACACCATGGCATTGCAGTAAATGGAGTATACAGTAGCAAAACAAGACAGAGACGGACTCACTCACTCACAGTGTAGTAAATTGGTTTGGTTTGGTTTGGTTTGGTTTGGTTCTGTAATAAATTGTCACTCAGGCGTCCAGGCTGTCGTCCTGTTGGATTATTACAAAACTAGGAGGTATAAAACGCGCGATGCGCGTAGGTGACTAAAGAGAATATGCCCTGTCAAATATGCGGATTAAGGGAATGACTGAATTTTGGTGCATTCTTTTATATGCAAATTATTTATTTATTTTTTTTTTTTTTGTATATCAGTATGAATATGCATGGCAGTTGACAGAGGGAAAAATATCACTGAGCTATATAGATTAAGGTTGACAATCCAAAATCCGTTAAACTTCAAGGCAATGCAAAGACTTCAAATCCATTACGTTACATAAATTTGGCAACGATGATGATAATGTACTTGGCTGCTGCACTGGATAGTAAAATCACAAACTATAAAGCGAGTTATTCTCTACATTTTCAGAAAACCTAATAACTTGCATGTTAAAGCTTTGTAAGTTGATGCTATATCTTTTTGGATTCATCACCCGTGGCTTCTAATGTACTTTCACAAAGTAATTGAAAGCAACTAAAACTAATCCATTGCTACAGAATAGGTGTAGCAAAGACATAAATTCCTCAACAAGATACTACTGGAGAAAACGGGAACCTTACATTACATTTCAACAGAATCATTAAAACATGGAAGATTACTGATACAATAAAACCCCCTCTTTTAAAAAGATGGTCTTCTTTTACTGATTCGCGTTGAGATGAATAGAAAACATGCCCAGTTAAACATAGATTTATGAAATAAGAACGTTTGGTGGATAATAATTTGTATTAAGAATAAATATTCTTTGATAATGAAATGAAATATATATAATGTATGAATTAATCATTCCTACACTATCAGTATATATTCGTTGATGAGATTGAATGAATATCACATCTTATAAATTTGAATTTAAGTATCAAATTTTTTACATGTGAGATTTCTACACTATCAGTATATATTCGTTGATGAGATTGAATGAATATCACATCTTATAAATTTGAATTTAAGTATCAAATTTTTTACATGTGAGATGCATCTACAGCTGATAGTGTATACACTGTCAGTGTATAAAAAAATTTATCCATATGTACATATATATATTGGTGTCATTTTGAAAAGAAATATTGTTATAACACAACATCAATATATAAATTAATGCCTTTACTACCATATCATGCTAATTCAAATATTAATGTAGCTTCAAACATATGAAAAGTTTAGAAATATGGATGAGGTTAAAAGAATACCAGACCTCCATCCCATGGATCTTCTAGATGAAATATTAAATTATGGGATATGCCAAATAACATACACAAACATTTTAACTGGAACATATTTTGCGCACACAAGTACTTTCCCCAGAGCATGAGTTCCCAAGGCAGTGAATCGAGTTGAAAGTGAAAGGCACCAAAGATTGGCAAATGCTGTTGGAATGCATTGACTTGAGTAGATATCACAATGTAAAATATTCACGCGATCATAATCTTCCATTCAATAATTCAACCAAAAAAAGAAGGAAAGGAAAAGAACCCAACAGCTCTGTTAATAAAAGAACTGGAACTTAAAAGGTTAATAATACACAACAAAATATCTTACTGCAGAAATTTTTTGTCAAAAAAGATAACCCACAATAATTTTTTTACCACTGTAGTAGTTTACAACAACAAAGACAGACATGATTCTAGATTCTACTGTCTAAAACCTAATGTAACATTTTTCAACTCTAGATTCAAATCCCAAAACAGAAGATGACAAAAACTAATTTGTAAAACTTTCATCCTTTATGGATTCGTCAATTCCACAAGTCAGAATACATCATTCGATATTGATATCAGCTGTACCTGTTAAAAAGAGAAAAATGACAAGAAGAAACTGCCCAAAATTAACATTCTTCTATTTATTGATACCAAGACCATTATGTTGCAGCCAACAACCTCAAAAACTTTTTTAAGTTCTTAATTACAATTTTGCAGCTCAAAAGATGCCAATGTTAATAAGAAGCTATTAATTTCATCCAATTAATGTGTTCCTTTTTATAGACAAAGTGATGCCAGAATTTACCTCCAAGACTGACCAGGAACATTCTGAAGTAGATATCTAGCATTGTGAAAAACAGCATTAGCCTGCTCATTTGATGCACCAAGCAACCGTAGTCCTTGATTCTCCTTCTCCCACTTATCCATGTGTTCCTTGTAGATTATGTAGACATATATGCTTTAGAAAATAAAAAATTGCTACATCCTGATCTTGAAAACCTAATAACTATTTTTTTAATGACTCAAAAATTAATTTTTCTACAAATTCATGATTAAGATCCTTCAGCATCGACTTCTCTGATTCTTGCAGCTCAGACACCCTCATCAAGCAAAAATGAAATCCAGCATAGAATTGATATTCAAACAAACTGAAACCAGGCTCAGCATAATTACTTGCAACAAAGAAAGTTAATCTTTCAAACTTTTACTTCTAGAATTACATCATGCCTAAGCGAATAGGACTGTTTTCCTTTATATATTTTTTGGTTCTTTCGAAAATTTGGACTCTTCACGTTTTACTTTTCTTATCAACTGATTTTTTTCATGAAAAGACAAGGTAGAGCAAAACTACCAGTTGAGTAAAGCTATTAATCTTCTCATGAATGTGAGCAATCTTCATCTGCAATTTCCCTTCAACAAACACCAACCACATGACTTCAAAACATAGAGAAACAGAACAAAAAATATCAAAAGTTATGCTTCTCAATTTATAAAAACCATAAGCTCAAACAAACAAAAGGGAAAATATCAGCCAATTGACAACAATGCTTAAAACATTTGAATAAGTATCGTAGGAAGAGAAACAAAGAAAGATCTCGTACAAGAATTACAGTCACTAGATTAATTTCAAATGATTTTTAGAGAAGTCAGGCTACTAAAATCTTAGGAAAAAACATAAGCAAACCACCTAGGAGCAAGGGTCCCTCTCACAAATTTTCTCATCACCAAATTGATGAAATAAAGAAAACAAGCATATTAGAGAAAGCTACATAACAAAAATGAACAGAAAAAAGGTTAAATAATGTTCTAGGTATTCTAGATAAAGTAGAAGCATGCAATAGAAGACTACATGCATAACCATATTAATTTTCAAATTTAGCATTTTTTATGCATAACCCGTGGAGACTTAAGTGTTGTTCTTGAATCTGCTTGGAGCCATCAAATAAGCATTTGCAGGGCAAAAAAACTATCTACAACTCTACAATTGCTTCATAACTACAATCGAAATAAAGGCAACACAAGTTTTAAAAATAAAACAAGAAGCTAGTTGAATAGGGAAGCATTGGATTAGATTGTTCAAACAGAGAAGAAATAAAAAAAGAGACAAACCTGATCCAAGTAATTCTTCCTCATGAAACACACTCCCAAGTCTCAGCTGCCACCAACCAAAAATCCAAACATTAAAATTTAGAAAAACAACCCAAATAGTCACAACAAAGACTCTTAGAAAAACCTTCAAACCCACTTAAGCATTCAACCTTCATACACATTAGTTTCTTAATTAAAAATAAACACACACAAGATCACAAGAAGATAAAAAAGTATTTCACAGAATTCAGCGTTATCCCTTAGACTTGCTTCAAAAGCTTCATCTTATTAAGATTCATTAACAAATATATACTTTCCAAATCATATCTTTTACACCAATTATCCTAACACTTTCCTTATGAGTTAAAAATTTTCAAAAAAAAAAAACAACTTCAACCATAGTTTCAGAAGGGCCTTATTAGGATCTATTCTGATTTTTCCAAATAGATCACTTTCTTACTTTTTTCAACCAATAAAAAAGTGAAATAACATATTACTGGCTTCCAGTACTATAGACAAATTCATAATTACAAAATATCCCTCAAGGTAACTTGACAGTTTAAACTTGATAAATAAAAACAAATTGAACACATAAAACCAATGCTCCAAAAAAAAAGGAGAAAAAAGTACCTGTCCAGTGATAAGTTTCAGGAAGACAACCCCAAAACTGTAGACATCAGATTTCACCGTCAATTGTCCAGTCATAGCATACTCAGGAGCACAATAACCATAAGTTCCCATGACCCTTGTGGAGACTGCGACTTGTCTCCAGTAAGACAAGTTTTGCCAGCCCAAAGTCTGAAAGCTTTGGAACAAACCCTTCATCAGTAATCTGTTAGATGACTTGAAATCCCTATAAATGGCAGGAGGATTTGCCTTACTCCAAACCTTTGGCCACACCTGCTGCTATCTTTATTCTTGTATTCCAATCTAATGGTTCTTTATCAGGTAGAAAATCTGCAAAAGAATTGTTAAAATGGTTTATAAGGATGCAACAGAATATGTTGTACGATAGCTACCAGAACAGTACTCTAACATAAACCCAACGAAGGAGTATTGAATGACATTGAAATTAGCATATTATCCAAAGTTGATGTTAAGCGATAACTACCAGAATAGTATTCTAACGTAAACCCAACAAAGGAGTATTAAATGAGCAATAACAGCCGTACCTGTTGAGAAAAATCATAGGCACACATTAATATTGAGAGAAATATTTAGTCAAAGTATAAGTGCACGTATTAAGATTTGTTAAATGCAAAATTTATTCCCCCATTGTAAAACTGATATAAGAGTCCAACAGCCCAAAATTCATTCAAAGATTAAGAAAAAGGAATGCTCTACTGAACGCTTGACACAAACATAAATCAACTAAATGGCATGACTCTTGTTTTGGCTTTCCACAAAAGAAGTCAAGTTATTAAACTACAATCGAGAGAATCACAACAGTGAGTCATTCTCACATGCAAGGTGTGTAAAGTCATTTGGTGGTACAAATAAATTTCATGCCTGTGCTCAACATTTTCAGCTTGTTGATAGTTGTTGACAATGTTAATCCTCACTTACAGCATTGGGTGGAGAAGTGATAAGGCTTAAAATCATTCAACTGAAACTCTCGTAGCCTGAATGTAACCACATGCAGGAAAAGAGAGAGACAGAGTTTCAGGAATGCAATTAAAGCACAAAGCACAAGATCCCTTAACATTTTGATCAGCTGAGGAACCCACTCTTACTAAGTGAACAAATGCATTAATACTTGAGGCAGTACCATTTGAACAAGCAAGCTCTTCATCAACCTCAAACAATAGAATGTGGAGTAAAGGCATGATATGATACAATACCAATCACTCCTATTCAAAACACCAAACCATCCATTCACCATACTATGCCACTTATATGCCCTCAACCCCACCTTTCCCATTTTCCTGGAACGAACATTGACCCCTATACCTAGAATAAGCAAGTTTGAGCCTATGCTCTGTCCTTGAGGCTTCATTATTTCTGCATTTTATTTTTCCTTATAAATGGCATTATTGTAAAGAAAGAACAATCAACATAAAAGTTAGTTTAAGTAGAAAAAACCCAATTAACTTTCTAAACAAAACTTACACTGTCATCATGTCTTCCTTAAGAAAGTTTATGCAGTTCATAAATTTCAGTAAACATTTAAATTCAGTTTTAAAATGGAATGGACTTCTTGCTGAACATGCAATAACTAAGCCGCAAAGAATTGACAAGATAATGAACAAGAATGCCTGAAATGATATCATGAAGATGATCTTCCAAGGATCCCAAGGGCATGAACTAATAGACAAGTAGCCTCTGGTCCCCATCAGCACAGTAATCGATTAAATTTACAAGGTTAGAATGACATAAAAAACTGAACATAAGAACCTCAACACAAAATTTTCGATTACCTTGAAGCCCATTTCTATCCAATTGCTTAACTGCAACAACCTGTCCATTCCAGTAATCAAATTAATTAGCAATAATAAACTTGAAAAGCAGCCAGAAAATTTTTGGTAGAGGCATTTCTAATAAAATCAATGTTGCCATTTTAAAAAAAAATTAGGAAAATTCAGAAAAAAAATCCTATGAAATGAAATAAGTAGGAAAAAAATAGAGAAAATCACGGATAACTCACTCTACTACTTTAGCTTGAAGATCTGGAGTTGAAACTTTCTTTCAGATCATCTCTAAGAGGGTCCAAAAAAGGAGGACATATTGGTTAAAAATTAGAAAAAAATAGAAATGAAAAAAACAGAAACGAAAATAAACAGATAATTTTTTTATAATAGAAATAAAATAGCTCAGATCCATCTGCATTCTTTTGCCGCAGGTACAAAGGATTAAGTGAAAAAAAAAAAAGATCAGAGGAGCTCATTATATAGAATGTATCATACAAGAAGGGTAAAAAAGAGATACGTTCAGTGGATCTTACCTTCCTCCCCATGGATTGGATCAAAGTAGAGTCCACTGAGTCGGAATCATTGACCCCTGTTGTCATAGGGACACAGAATTCCCAACGAGATACGACTGGAATAGTCGTCAATCCGATGCGAAAGGGAAGCTTCACATTCGAGAATATAAGAGCACTAAAATTGTCTTCTTCCCGTCTTGCACGTAGAGATACGAAAGTACAACAGCAAAAGAGACGACACCTGCACAACCATAGAGCAAACCGTCCATGAGTAATTTTGGAAGTCCATCTACGATCGTGTAGGAGAAAGGAAAAATAACGAAAAAGAATGAAGAAGAAATGATAGATGAAACGTTTTGGAGAGGAAGAAGGCGGCGGAGCTTCTGAGGAGAGAAAAGAGAGAGAGAAGCGTGTGGTCTCTATTCTTTACCCTAGCTATCTATTTTTATTTTCGAAACGACGTCACTTATCCTGGCATGTGACCAGCACGAGGGCCGACGAAAACAACCGACGAAAACAAGAGCCTCAGACCAAAACCCCCCACTCGCTCTTATTCTATATATGTTGATAATTGAGGTCCGTGCGACGTGGAGTGAGGAATCCGTTATCCTTCCAATTCCAAATCCTTTCTTTCTATGGATCCATTCATTGTGGTCTAAAGTAAAAAGGCATTTACTCTGTAACGATAACATCTCTATAATTTAATCTAATTTAGTCTAGAAGGAGGAAAAGCCGACAAGAGTTGAATCATTATCTGAGGAAACCATCGAAAGTGACAATCACATATAGTGACAAATTAATGGGAGACAATGATTGAATCTTTGATTTTTAATCTTGGTGATCACCACTAGAGGTGTCAAAATGGATGACTTGGGCAGGTTTTGATTGGGTAAAATGGGTAATGAATATAAGTGAGTCAACCCATTTATACCCATTTAATTAAATGGGTATAAATGGGTAAGTCAAACAATGAATTAGGTAACTCAATTACCCATTTATAACCAATTTATTTTAATTTTTGTTAAACTCATTTAAATTCATTTTTGCAAACTAAGTTATCAATTTATAACACTCTTTGTACCATCATTAGTTTTAAATATTTACTTATAATGCTCAATAAGCCTAATTACTAATTTTTTTTCCATTTATATTCTATGTCGCAAAATTACATATTATTTAATAATTGAATAATAAGAATAAAAAAAATTGAACTAAGTACTATAAAAGTTAATATAAAAATTTAATTCAAAAATTTTGAACCCCTAATATTTTTTTCATATATAAATTTAAATTTTCATTTTAGAAAGATAAGAAAAGAGGCTAAAACTTATCATAAATTGGTAATACTAAAAAATGAGCAAGTTAACAAACTAAGAAAAAATAAAATAATAAGATAAAACTAACAAATAATAATAATAATGAAATAAAAGTAGTTAACATCATGATACAATGAAAATTTTGAAAAAAAAGGGGGGGTGAAGGAAGAGAAGAGACTTAGGGGAAGAGAATTCTAAATGAGTTAATTGGGTTTGATGGATTACCCAATAATATCCATTTATTAAATGGATATTATTGGGTAACCCATTTATATCCATATACAAAAATTTAAGATACCCATACCCATCTATTCATGGACGGGTAAGAGTAAATTTAGTTAAGTGGGTTGATTTGCCACCTATAGTCACCACCAACCCAAAGGGGGCTGGCTTTTATCTTCTGAAATTGTATTTTGAGCTACTAAAAAGGCTTTTACTCTTAATTCTCAAAAAAAAAAAGCGTCCTTGTGGCAGGGGGTTTTGGTTGGGTGTCGCTTGAAAGTGACCACTGGATTTGCAGTCAATTAGTGACATGCTACAACTGTAACTTGCATTGCAAGTCTCTCAAAGTCCTGCTATTTATTTGCATTTGCAGCCGTCAAAGAAAGAACAGAGTGGTCGCGGTGATTAGTCATAAAAAGTAACCGTTTTGAGGGTAGGATAGGAAGGAACAAAGTTGCAAAATTTCAACCAAACACCCCCGAAAATTATGAAAATGCAGAATCTTTTCCTAGAATTTGGCTCTGTTTAGATTAGCTGCTTTTAGAGGTGTTTTTAAAATATTTTACTGTAATAATGTAGGTAAAAAACTTTTATGGTAGATGTTTTTAATGGTATTTTTGAGGTGTTTTTGAAAATATATTTTGGGATATTTTTAAAATTTAAAATTTTAATGGAATATTTTTAAAATTTTATAAATCTTACAACCACCCACCCCTCCCCTCCCCTCCTCCCCACGCGCTCCCGCCACCCTCCTCCCGTTATGATAACATAATGTACTTAAAAATGTTCTATATTTCATAAAACCTTAGAGAAGTGTATGTCTAATAAAGTTTTGCATCGGGTATTCTTAGGCATATCTTTATTTATTATACAATTTTATACAATTAGATGACTTGTAAAATGATAAATCTCAAGCTGTAGACGATTTTGAATAAATTGATTCACTATTGAAGCATTTAGTGATCAATTTAAACATTTACCTTAACTTGATTTTAGTTGGTCCAAAATCTATAAATCAACACATTGTAAGTCTAAACTAATATTATTGCACCTCTCATATAAAGTCCTAACTCCGCCGCTGCAATATAGTGAGCTTGGATAGAAGATTAATTGAAAATATTGTTCAAATAATACACTACAAGAAATTTGGCCTTTTGTGACAATAGAAAGTCATCACTAAAAATTAGAAAGTCGTCATTATATGAGTATAGTGACGACTTTTTCCATTGTCACATCGTTGTCACTAATTCTATGTCACAAATGGGTACGTGTGACAACCTCTACAAAGTCATCACTAAATATTATTATTTAATGACGAAGACTAAATCGTCACTAAAGAATAGGTATTCTGTGACAAAGTTTCTTGTCACTGTTTCCAAAATTTTTTTGTCATAAAAGATAGCAGAAGTCGTCACAAATTTGAACGCGCACAGTGACGACTTGAACTTGTCACTCTCACTCCTAGTATTCTGTGACAAGAATAATCGTCACTTAGTGAACTTACAACTTTGTCTACAAGAGCTGCAATTCTATTGCATTTTCAACAACCATAGCAGAAAATTGTGGCTCGACTAATGCAAAAAACGATAGTAATTAATGTACAATGAACCCTCAAATATATATATATGGTTATAAACATCTCTAAATTCATCACAACACACATTAACCAAAATGGGTTCCAAAGCCCACATTAGTTCAAGTACTAACAGCCATTATCCATCCAAACAATAGAGTACTAAATTCACTTCAGTTCAACTAGTAACAGCCATTACGCATCCAAAAAAACAAAGTACTCTTTCCAAACAAAAACATAGACTAAAGCGGCAATTTGTGTCAAACTGAAGTCATCTTCACGAGCATATCCAAAAGCCAACCTTTTTCATCTCCTCAAGAGCATTTAATAGCATTGTACTACATTGAAAGAAAAGTATCATATGCATTAGAATCGATTTCAGTCAAAAAATATGCCATTACAAACATACACTATTGAATTTGAATGAATAGTCATACTGAACAAAAATCCAATTAAGTCAATATGATAAGCTCCCACCAACATCACGTACAATGTCACACCACAGGACCATATATCCGCAATCTAGAAAATAGACAGCAATTACAAAATGAATGAAGACCTTCTTGAGACAAAACTATTTAATGAGCAGAAAGTAGGCAGCAGTGCCTGCCTGTTAAGCAGGAAGAAATGAACTGAACAAGCATAACCACTAGCACAAAGTTTACAAGATACTTGAGACAAGGGCCATATTGCTGATTTAGAAGAAACAGTACTACTACTTTTGACTATGTTTGGATGTAAGTTGGGGATACTAGTCGATCTAGTAATACCATATCACAGCAAAAGGGAGGAAATTCCATTATACTATCACAGTGAAGAGTTAACTAGAAGAGGAAACTAATGCTCAGAGGGAGAGAATCTCTGTAAATTCTTCAAGAATTTTGATGATACAGACCTTCCCATCATATTCCTTCCTTGACAGGACCTCAGGTGCAATATATGCTGTGTTCCAACTGCCGATTTGGGTTGTGAGTGCAAGAAACCGGACTGCAAGTAAATGCCAGAAACCAACAAAATTTCAAATTATCCACAGAAAAAAATATGAAGTCAATTGAATCACAATTTTTTTTAATTCCAAATGCAAAGATTTGTAACCTTAGAATAACCAAAATCACATATTTTAAGACGTGGTGTTGGACTCCCATCCAAAAGTGTGTTTTCCAGCTTCAAGTCCCTGTGACAGATTTCCTGCATTGAGAGAACAATGAGATAATAATAAGAGGACTCAAAAAGAATAAATAGTTCTAATATCTCACCATTGAATGACAGTAACTAACACCAGATATTAGCTGCTGGAAGAAAAAGCGAGCCTGCGTTTTAACAATAAGAAAGTCCCATAAGTATCTCTCTATAAAATCAATGCCAAAAGAAAATGAGATCAAGGCAAACGAAATATATTTTGCATGTGTTTACACCTCATCTTCATTGAATCCACCAGCACTACAAATTTTTGCAAAGAGCTCTCCACCAGCAGCATATTCCATGCAAACTGCTAAATGTGTCGGAGTTAGCACGACCTGCAGACAAAAGTATGCTTCAAAACATGGCTCCATGATTTTTATCACAGACATCTCCCACTAAGGAAGTTGAAAGTACAAACAATAGTTTCTCATCCTGATTCATAATCTAGTTCCATTTTCTATCTTGTCAGCTCTCATCTATGACCTCGAAGACAGCGCTCTTTTCTATTTAATTGAAGCCGAAAACAGGACCCATTCCATTCCCTCTAGAAAAAGTGTAATCTGAGTGCCAAAGTCTTGAACTACCGATTAGCAACCAACTTCGGCCGAATAAAAATGTCTTCCTGTACCACTTATATTATGCATGAAAAGGCAGTACATGTCGCTACTTTAACATGCTTTACTCAGACCTTGAGGAATGGGACTACTTCTAGATAATAACACACAAATTTTCCCAGGTGTCCCCACCTCTAAAAATGCTGTTATTTCTTCCAAAATCTAACTCCAATTATTAGGACATTCGCTGCTTATATAATGGAAAATATATACTTTATAGGCGTTTATCAGTTTTATAGCTAGACTCTTCATCACTGGAGGCTCGATGCAAGATAAGGAAACTGGAATATGGATTCCTAGGGTCAGAAGGGCACAGAAACTAAGGTCTAGATCATAGGTTTTCTACAACCTACAATTTGAAAAGCTAAACAGCCACAAAGTTCAAGGAACCAACCAGTTTCAAAAAGATAAATTTGACAAGGTGAATCCATTCATCAAGAAAACTCATGTGTGTGATAGTGTTCATCCTTGAACTCCACTTAATT